AAGGTTCATATCCTAGATCTATACTGGATTGACTATCCTACACCTTGCTGCTAGCTACAGCCGGACCTGCAGGTCTGCGGGTGCCAAACGTCATTCCGTTATTACGACCATTCATATGTCGTTGTTACCAGTCGATAGTATGGTGCAATTTATCACATGATACCTTAATATAAATCCGGTTTAAGGTAGTTAGTACAACAGTAGTTCTTATAATACAAAACTACAGTACTACAATGATTTACCCATTACATATTTTAGTGATAACCTCATCCCTTAAAGGGAGTTTACGGCCAAGGAACATCTCTTGGGCCGTAAACTCCAAGTAAAGGCACAAATGTGTGCCTAATGTCCCCTTTAGCCTTAGACAAAAGCATAGAAGCTATCCTATTCACTACTATCTTGAAATCGGTCCTCTTGCTTTACTCACCTCAACTAGTGTGATTTCAAGAACCAAAGCCTCCTTTATATAGTGTGGTGGATTAGGGTTACATCCATGTAAACCCTAATACCCATGTCTCTTCATTTCCATGAGATCCATGGGTTAAAGCTCCATGGAGTATCCATGGACTTTCCATGCAAGCCTAGCCCATTCCAAATAAGCATTAGCCCACACTATATAAATGTAGAAGCCCATATTTAATTAGTAATACTTTTGATCTCTAAATTAATCCTAGATTAATTATAGATCAATACTAATTAAATAATATGATCTTATATTAATATATTAGAACTTATAATATATTAATAAATCATAACTTATACTATTCTCAAAAGATTATCCATAAATTGTTCGGGTGAAGTGCAACCCAAATGGACCATTCTGGGTCGGGTCAAGCACATGCCAAATATAGTTATGGACTTAGACACTATATCCAACATGCCTCCCTTCGAGTTGTTGTATGGGAGGAGATGTCGGACTCCTATTTGTTGGGGAGAGGTAGGGCAACGCGTGATGGGTAGCACCGAGATAGTGCTTCAGATGACTGAGCAGATACAGCAGGTCAGGCAGAGGTTGTTGACAACTCAGAGTCTCCAGAAGAGTTATGCAGATAGGCGACGACCGAGCTTGAGTTTCAGGTGGGAGACTTCGTACTCCTGAAGGTGTCTCCTTGGAAAGGAGTGATCCGATTCAGGAAGAGGAGCAAGCTGGGGCCCCAGTATATTGGTCCGTTCAGGGTGACCGCGAGGGTGGGTAGGGTAGCGTACCATTTGGAGCTACCTGCGGAGTTTAGCCAGATACATGATACCTTCCACGTATCCCAGTTGAGGAAGTGTATAGCTGACGAGTTGACGGTAGTGCCACTAGAGGATATTCAGGTGGATGCGAGCTTGAATTATGTTGAGAAGCCGATCGCGATCTTAGATCGGAAGATCAAGGTTTTGAGGAACAAGGAGGTGCCCCTAGTTCAAATCCAGTGGCAACATCGGAGAGGGTCCGAGTTGACTTGGGAGCCGGAGGTGGAGATGCGGGAGCAACATCCTGAGTTATTTGCGCAGCAAGAATTCAAGGGCGAAGTCAGATTCTTGTGGGGGAGAATTGTAACACCCGGATTTCCAGGTATATTATTTTAATTATTTATTTTTTTGAATCACTGATCTACTCGATGTGTTGGTGTTATAACTCGTCAAGTAGAAGCGGGGTGGCTACGTAAGTTTAATGAACTACCCGACGAGTCCAAGAGTAGACTCGCCGAGTAGGTGTTGTGGGTGGAAACCCTAAATCCTCGGGCATGTGCCCTATTTAAGGGACCATATAGCCCTCATTTGCGGCCAACTTCACCCTTGAGAGCACCAGAGTACCTGAGAGCATTGAGAGAGAGAGAGAGAGAGGAAGCTGTTTTCATCATTCTAAGTGTAATTTTGCAAGAAAGAAGTGTAACAACGTAAATTTCCAAAACAATTTTTCATTTTTAAAACATACTTTTATTCATAAGGTAATATCAAAACATAATGTATCCTATGTTATCATAACAAAACATATCCCAGAATCTCAAGACATAAACTCCATGAGTGTGTAGGGATCATGCCGGCGCCTTCCCGCGATCCTCGCTAGTACCAGAAACATATAACACAACAACTGTAAGCATAAATGCTTAGTGAGTTCCCCAAAATACCACATACACACATATGCCACTCGATGTTATAAGACCTTCCGGTCACTGTGGCTCAGCTGCCATCTACCTGAATATCCCCCAGGGGTACCACCGCTGAGTCGTCCACCAGACACTTTCGCAACTGAGAAACATGGAAAGTTCTATGTATTTGACTGAGTTCGGCTGGCAGATCCATCCTATACGCCACCTTGCCCACCCGGGCCAGAACCCTGAATGGTCCAATGTATATGGGGCCCAACTTGCCCCGTTTCTTGAATCGGATGACGCCCTTCCATGGCGACACCTTCAGGAGAACCATATCCCCGACCTGGAATTCCAGGTCTGATCGACGCTTGTCATTAGAGGAGTGACATTTGTGACCCTAAGCTTTCTAAAGTCAATACAAGGAGATTTGGGATTGTTATTGCTACATAACAATCAAGGTAATATCTTAAACCCATTCTTATGTTAATATGATTACTTGTATTCTAGAATTAGGGTTTATAGTCTTGGATAACTTGCATGTACAATAGAGAAACCTAGATCCAAGCATTAGGGTTTGTATGAGCACATAGGATGTTCTTATGACCAAAACCCATCAACTGGATGGTTATGGGAATTCAAAATGGAAATGGTAGAGCCTATTGAGTAAAGGGTTTGGATGTCGAGTTGCAGGATCTTGTGGATTAGTGGTATGTGACGCAGTATGGCTACGGCTGGGTAGTCCTGATTTTTGATTTCTTGGGAACCTAGTGGTTGGACCAGGTGAGAGACTGGTGGTCTCGGGGATTGGCTAAGGGTAATTACTTATCAGTCATGAAGGGGACGTCAGAAGTTATGGTGTATTATGGATCTCGAGGTAGTAGCGGGGTATCGACTCGTTTCGGAAAGGATTCTGAATCGAGGTTCATGCATGTTCAGTACAGGATTTTGTTTTAGTGTGATGAGATTCGGGAGCATAAGGATGCCAAGGGCATCAAATGCAGGATACCAGGGTAATGAATGGGTTTGGTTCGATGATACCTCAAGCCATCACGATGTGACTCGAGTTGGTTCTATCAGTAATGGGATAGCGGCATGTTGAACCAGGAGAAGACACGTCAAGGGAGGTAGGGTATGATGTAAGACCACAATTGTTTTTGTAGAATTCATTTTTGCATTTTTGGTCCCTTGAGTACGCTGGGCGTACTATGGGTACGCATAACATACTCTGCCTCAGTGATTGCGGAGGAGCCCCACGTATGTTGGGCGTATGCGTCTGAAGGACTAAACCCTAAATATCAGACCTGTTCCCTATTTCAATGCCTTTTGGCCTCTTGGATCAAACCTTATTAGTCTCTTTAGCCCAATTTCGTCTTCCTTCAGCTGAGTTAAAGTGTGAGAGAGTTTTGGAGCCTAAGAAGAGGGTTTTTGTGGTTACTTTGGAATTTAAATATATATCTATTTATGACTGGTTGTAGTAGGTTACCGTACAATTTGCATATATGTTGCATCTACAGAAAATGTATATTGAGAAACTAACTTGAGAGGATAGCTAATTGTCACTTTTGTTCACATTTGATCAATTTTTTTGTACACCTTTAGCCATCAAACTCTCATTTTGTGTTTAAATTATAACTTATGACCGGCCAATATTGTCGGTTTATCTCTTCAAATCGTAGAATACAACTAATACAGCCAAACCCTCACTAAATATGACAACCCCCAAACAAGATAACTGTCAAACGCATTTTAATGTCGTATCAATTTCATGTCAAAGTTTGAACACACACACAAGACCTCGCTTTTTTTACATTTGACAGCAACACGAACACACAAGAAAATTGGAATAAAATTGAAATTGAAATGTGTAGAAAATAGTTGTGAAGATTGTAAAAAAGATATAAAGAAGACACTAATTTTTTAAATACATAATAGAAGTTGCAATAATATAATTTTATTTGGAAAAACCTTAAGTTTTAAAAAACATATAAAAGAATTAAAAAAAAAGTAATTGGGGAATGTTTGTTAGAAGTTTGGACCAATTTGGTTAAAAAAATAAGTCATGAATAAAAAATTCAAAAAGAAACTTTAATAACAATAACAAGTTGAATCCACATTTGTGGTTCCGACCGGTCCATTCGACAACCCCTTACGCCTTACCAACTTAGCTAACTTAACTTTTTGTTAAAACTTGCCAAATAATATTAAAACAATCCCCAAAACAGCTACTGTTCACATGTAAATTTTGTTAGTAAGGAATTATAGGGTCTTTTACGCTAGAAGGAGTGACTGCGATTTCAAACCGCAGTTTTACCACATGGACCTGGAACACCGACGCCTGGGTGAGGTCTACTCCGCAAATTCTGATTGGTTGGTGCTCTTTGACAGTTCAACGGTCCTTGCATTTGAAATTACCACTCAAACTCACCATTTTACCATTTTTTCTTCAAATTTTTTCAAAATGTCTGCTTCCATAAGACCTACCAACGAAAAAACACACTCTAGAAACACTACAACCCTAATATTTTCATTTGATCAACCGATTTTTTCGCCTTCATATTAGTTGTGGGAATGAGGATCGCAGAGGATTCATGGAAGGCTAATAGATTTTTGGAAAGCAGAAGTAAGAGGTGTCATCTGGTCGGACAATGGATGGAAACAATATTGTTCATGAAGTTGTAAATTATATAAAGTATATAATAGAGAATAATATACGTTTTATATATCTTAATTAATAATTAATATACTGTATATTGTTTTTAGATATTGTAGGGACATGGATATTTTTAGAAAAATCAAAACCATTTTTAGTAAAATCAAAAACCATCTTGTAAAGTTTTAACATACGACAGTGGAATCTATGGTTTTTTTATTTAATAGAAAGGAAAATCCAAAATCACAATTAACTAATCTCTATATAATCGTCATAGAAGTTACACATGACCTGATGATTAAAAGAAAACCTATGTACCACACAATATAATAATTTCTATTACTTCCTCTGTTTCTTTTCCTTTTTCTCTTTCTCTTCAGACGAATACTCCAACTGCAACAGACATTAACACCACATTAAAGCCTATCCACAATAACTTTATGAAAAAAAACAATTCAAGTGGAATTACTAGTATATCTCACCGTGATGATAAGAATGCGAACAAATATAGCAATAAAGTCGGTAGAAAGCAAGAGAGCATCTGTCACGTAATCCAAATTTCCAAGATGAGCGCTTTCAATAATCTCCTGGGTGTCAACCACAACGTACCCAATAAACACCAAGAGCCCAAAATACATCTAAAAAACAAATTAAACATTGCTTAGTTGGAAAAAGACTTAGATAAAAAGAAAGAAACATAAGCTTATCTTTATCTTTATACCTGAATTATGAAGAGGGCAGCAGAATCACCAAATATTAATGATGCAAAACCTGCCCATACAAGGATTGAAAAACAAGAGGAGAGAAAACCTCCAAGATAAAGAAACACTCTGCGTCTTGCCATTAATACTGCGACTCTTTTTTTCTGGGAATATAGATGTTTTAGAATTACGTGAAGAATAAGAAGTCAAGATTGTAAATTGTTAAGATGATTGAATCTACCTTTTCATGTGTAGGAGAGGTTAGTATCGAATACAAGCAGCCCAATGTCGCGAAGAAGGTTAGAAAGCCTCCGATGTTCAATAGCATGTGAAGAATAACTCCAAATACAGATGCCATGAGAGCGCAACATAGTAAAAAGTAAACCTACAATTACATTATAGGAAGATAGTTTATAACAATTGAATTGACGGAGGGAAGTAAATGGAATTACATATAAAAATCCCGAATCTAAAGATTAGAAAACCTAATTGTTATTTTGATAACTGATTACTAAACAGTTGTAAATTAAACGAAAACACATGTGATAAGAACAATCTCTAACGGAAAAACAAACAATAATTCCTTCAAGATTACGCGATACGCAGACGAAGTTGTGAAACCAAAAAGATCATATAACATTTTCACACATTAGACAACAACAAAATCGAACTAACTGATTTAATGGTTTTTTTTCTTCCAAAACTCATTTATTAATTACGAAAGTCAGACGAAACACACATCCAAACAACCCCATCTCAATCTTTAATTTGTAGACAATAATAGATCCCCAAAACAGAAATGAAGCTTTAACACCCAACTATAATCAAATTTGCCAGATTTTGCCTTTTTCACCAATGTCTCCAAATATTCATCATTTCTCAAATATTTTAATTATAATTGCAAAACGACTTATTGAAAAGAAACGATAATCACTCATCTTAACAAAGTTTAGCTTACTTGTTTCGTTCCTTACCAGCTCATATGCTCCTTAAGAAGGCCAATCCCAGGCTCTCTGCTTAAAAACCCAAAATTTGGAAAATACCAAGACATAGTAAATGTGAATCTGTAAAAAGAATATTTTAGTGCTTATTTTAACTTAAAGTTGGCATAAAATTCATAACAAGGTTACAGTTTAGAATGTTTATCACATAACGCGGATTTACACAAATCAATGAGACAAATGGATCCTTTGGAGCTACTATATGTGAAAGTGCTACAATGAATATAAATGAAATTCAACACATGTAATCACCTCTGCCATAAAAGAATTCACAAAAAAATAGTATCAATAAAAAATTAAAATTAAACGAACAAAAGATATTAAAAGGTTGTACTAGTAACATATTCCATTTTTGTAGGCTTCATTTTCTTCTAATCTAGTCTGATTCGGTTTGTATATATAGCTTTGGGTGATTTTCAGTTTGAATTGGTTTCAATCCGATTTGATTCAACCTAAACCAGTGTTAAGTTCATTGAATCAAACTCAAGTGGTTTTAAAACCAATCCGGTTTCTAAAAAAAAACTTGTGTTAGTATGTCGGAGTGAAATGTGGATTGGATTCCTTTTTGAAAATGAAATCGAAATTCACATTATCAAATTATATATAAAGATTCATATAAAACCGTTATGTATTTACTGAACAATGAAATTTCAAAATTAAGGTATCACCTAAACTCATCACTAAAACCATAAGCCAAGACTATATATGGGTCCACAACAATTCTTCAAGTATGAAGTTTTTTTAAACTCATTAATTTCAGCAAATCTGACAAATTCAGTACAACTTTAGGATGATTATATTAATACTTAAAGAAATATACAAGTATGATTGTCGTAGGTTGACCTTTCAAAATCACGACCATCAATTTATAGTATAACCAAGTTGGGATTATATTAATACTTAAAGAAATATACAAGTATTATAGTATAATCAAAATCTATAATGTTTTTCTCCAACCTTTTCATCAACTAAAAGCCACTCTTATCCCAATTCAATGCAAATTAGAACCATGAAATTTGCATCCTACTTTCATTTTTTATTATTACAATGTTGAAAGTACAATGCTATACTTGTGTAAAATTTTCAAATTACAATGTCTTAATAAGAAAAAAAAAAACTGTTGTAGTCTATAAGTTTTGGATATTTTATAGTTTTCTATTTGATGCAGTTGCTTGATTGGTCTTTTGATTGGACTTACATGGTGAGAGGATTGGTACTTGATAAAAAAGTGAGGAAATATATTGAAGGTTTGTGTTTTTCATGTATAAATTTTGAGCCATATCATATAAAGATGAATCCCAGTGTTGTATATTTTTTAAAATTTTTTTTTACAAATGGACAGACATAAATATGTGAAAGTGGCATATCATGGATGTAGGTTATTGTCAAAAGATGAAAAAGTTGCTACATATGGCAACACTTTGGTTCTTGATGCATTTAATGAGCCTGATTATGCACTCGTTGATACCCTTTTCTCATTGGCTGAAGCTTATTTATTTGCTCAACTTGTTGACTTTAAAGATAATAATCAGGAAAAATCTCAGAAGAAAAAGAGTAAGTTGTGGGAATTGGAATTCATGATTCCATTTCATTGTTTGTTTGTTTTGTTCGGTTGCCAAATGAACATAATTCAATTCAATTTTTTCAGATTTCTTCAAATTCCATGTTGGATGTATTTCACCACGAATTCAATTTCATTTGTTTTTGTACTAAAAGACCAAAATACCCTCGTGTTTTTGCAGCAATTTTCGAATGTACAGAGATGTCAGGGCTGCTGTGGTTCTCTGCCATCGTGATGGAACTTTGAAGTAGATGGTTGCAAAAAAAAAACGACTTTCCCCCTTAAGTTCATACTTTTTACAATTTTGCCCTTGTTTATTTTTTTCTAAACTTTTTCAAAATTAGGTACATCAATGAGACAACTCATTAGTCCCAATGCTACAGATGCTTAGAACTTCTGGTTTTGCTGTATTCTTAGTGACACACAGGTTTATTATTATTATTATTTTACTTTTTAAAGTCTATCATCTCAGACCGTGATAGTAGATTCACTTCGAGGTTCTGGCAGTCATTACAAAGTTCCCTAGGAACTAGGTTGGACATGAGTACAGCCTACCATCCACAGACCGATGGGCAAAGTGAGAGAACTATCCAAACCTTAGAAGATATGTTGCGTGCATGTGTGATTGACTTTGGAAAAGCTTGGGATACTCATTTACCCCTAGTTGAATTTTCCTACAACAACAGTTATCACATAAGCATAAAGGCAGCTCCATTCGAGGCTCTCTATGGCCGAAAGTGCAGGTCCCCTCTGTGATGGGCTGAAGTGGGTGATACACAGTTAGCTAAGGGACGAGTTCCCGAAAGCACTCTCACGGGTCCGGAAATCATTCGGGAAACGACAGAGAAGATCGTTCAAATTCGTGAACGATTGAAAGCCTCTAGAGACCGACAGAAAAGCTACGCTGACAAGCGTAGGAAACCTTTGGAGTTCCAGGTGGGCGACCGAGTCCTACTGAAGGTCTCACCCTGGAAGGGCTTGATACGCTTTGGAAAGCGTGGGAAACTCAATCCAAGATACATAGGGCCTTTTGAGATTCTTGCAAGAATCGGCCCTGTAGCTTACAAACTCAATCTACCGCAAGAACTCAGTAACGTACATCCTACCTTCCACGTCTCGAACTTGAAAAAGTGTCTATCCGACGAGACTCTTGTTATTCCACTCAACGAGATCGAGATCAACGAGAGCCTCAACTTCGTGGAGGAACCAGTAGAGATCATGGACCGAGAGGTCAAGCAAACAAAACAGCACCGTATCCCGATAGTGAAGGTGCGCTGGAACGCAAAGCGTGGATCGGAATTCACTTGGGAACGTGAGGATCAGATGAAACTGAAATACCCTCACCTTTTCGCTTAGTTATTTGTAATTTCTTATTTGCTTAAATTCTAATTTCGGAACGAAATTCCTTCTAACGGGGGGATGATGTGACAACCCAAAATTTCCATTCTGTACAAACTATATCACTTCAATAGAAGTTGTAGCAGTCACAGTTGATTTTCAGACTCTTCGCGTAAGTTTGAGAAATTCAGGGTTTACACTTCAGGAAATATCAGGAGAGTGGGTGCACTAGGGTTTTGTGCAACACTGTTATTCCAACACTCTATTTTATTAGAGATCATTACAGGAATAAAAATATTTTCTGCCAAAATATCTCAGGACTATAAATAGATTTCTAAACCAAAATCATTCATTATTCACATTTCCGACTAGAGAAAAGCCATTTTCTCTCTGACGGATCTTCGGGTTTTTATATCAAAATGTGAGTAACTCTTTATAGTAATGTTAGAAAGCTTTATACGTGTCTATAACATGATTTAGAAGGCTAAAACATGAAATCTAGGAGTTTACACCCCAAGGTGTTCTTGAGCGGTAAACTCCCGAAACGAAGCCAAAACCGATACTTGTGTTAGGTTAAGGCCTTAGATGATTATGTAAGCATGTTAGGGACAAGAAAGCAAGCCACAATCCACCCAAGATTGGGAATTTACGGCCCAGAACTCTCTTAGGCCGTAAACTCCATATTCTAACACTAAATGGTGTTTTGAGGACACTAGGACTTTAAGGCTTGTATCTAGGCTATTTTCCCAAGTAGCACAAGGTCTTAAACACATCAAATGACACAAACAAAAGTGAGTTTATGGCCCAAGAGAAGCTTAGGCCGTAAACTCCATTTAAATGGACAAAAGTGTGTTTTCATGACACCTAAAGCCCTAGTCCTTTACAAGAAATTGTTACACACTTAATGGAAGGACCAAACCACATCAAAATCACTTAACCAAGTGAGTTTACAGCCAAGACATCATTCTTGGGCCGTAAACTCCTAAAAAGGGCACTAAGGTGTGCCTAATGCCTTCATATGCTAGGAATAAAAGTCTAGAACATATCCCACAAGTGCAAGAGGCTTGAAAACAACAAAAACCCACATTACTTAGAGTTTACGGTCGTAAACTCCTAATTTGAGTACTTCTAGATCTTAAACCCTTCCAAGGACTTAACCACTAAGTTAGAACAATTTAGAAAGCATTTGGGACTTCAAAACACACCAAACACACATGTTTGGGAGTTTACGGCCGTAAACTCAAGAGTTTACAACCGTAAACTCCATGTGTGATGGTTTATAGAGAGTAAACTCTCCTATAGGGTCCTTTGGAAACCCTAAACACAAATACCCTGTCCCACAATAGCTTAGATGCAATCCTTATGGCTTAAAACACTTATATAAAGTGTTTATTATGCCTAGGATGTCTTAAACATTATCAATTAGTCATTTGAGTCTAATTGAGTACATATATGTGTGATTATATGTTCATTAGGATCGTAGTGTGTGCACAAGTCCTCGCTTGACACCTAGCAATCCGATACCGTTCATTTCATTTCAATCACCAACTACAGGTGAGTTCATACCCCTAATCAATGTTTTAAATGATTTTAAATGCTTTAAAAGGGGGGAAATACAAGTAGAAACAAACATGTTATTAAATCATTATATGTATTTTATAACTGTGTTTGTCATTTAACAGATTTCACATACTACAAAATGTGATGCATGAAATGGTTTTAAATCTTAAAAACGCATTG